GGAGCCACACACAAAATTAAAGTGAGATGTTCCCTTTATTTTTTTATAAGAATATAAGAACTCAGAGTTGTAGATGCTGATGGCTGAGGGCAGGAAGGATGTCCTGTAGCAGTCTGTATTACAATGTTTCACAATAAGCCTCTGACTGAAGACCTGAAGAAAAAAATTGTTTAATATTGAATTCCTTCTTCCCCCATAATAGAAACATTTTTATTTATTTCAACTAAAAATATTTTCTCAATTCAACTTTTCATAATTTTGTTACTTTTAGTTAACTATCATGTATTTGCTCTGGACTCAGTTTTTCTGATAGTTATTTTAGTATTTCTTTAGTCGACAGAACTGTGACTTGCGGTGGAAATCTGAGGTGTACAGATTGAAAAGGACTGGGGCGAGTACAGTGCCCTGGGGGACTCCGCTTAGACAGAAAAATGTGTGGTTGCTCAAAAAGTGCGTTATCAAAACATTTTTGTTTTAATCTTGTGTAATATTCTAATTTTCTCAGATACTGAACTATTTCATTTCATAATCTGTAAGCCAAAAATAAAATGTTTCATTTTCATACACTAGAAAAAATGAATGTCAAGTTAAACATGATCAAAATTGCAATTGCACAACATATAAAGAAAAAGGACACAACAAAGCCTAGATCATTTAAAATCAATGTTTAATAATAATAATAAATCTGACTTTCATCAAAGTGCTTTACATTAAACACAAGCAGTCTGCTGGGGGTGAAAAGCTAGATCAGGCCACATCTTGGGACAAACACATGATCAACATCAACAGGACATCTGACAGAATAATCAATATTCAATATGTAGAATATTCACTGAACACTGATCCAGAACTGCACAGCATTCTGGGAGATGTAGGCACAGGAACAGCTTCAGCCGCTCAACCTCTCACAGCTAGCTAAGCTCAGGTTGGTGGCTTCACTCACTCTTTGGTTACCTAGCAACCACCTGCTGAGTAACTGGCGCAGCAGCAGTTTAAGGTTTTGCCACTATTCCTCATGACTGCTCAAAAAGAAAAAACAAAGGTGTGGAGTGAAAACTGGATAAAACAGGAAAGGTCACACTATCAGTTTGGCAGCTTTTCAGATGAATAAAACAAAAAAACTAATCAATAAATATTGATTAGTCACCCACTGACTGATATGAAACGCATATATCGTCATAAGTTCACTGCTCTGAGTGTGGTACTCTTTTAGCAAATAACAATAATCAATATTACAATAATCAAATCATGACAGTTAATCAGATTAATCGTTTCAGCCCAAAATTGTTCAGCAGTATCAACAAAAACTCATCTGAAAGAAATTACTTCAACATGCAGGAAAAGCTCCACAGTTTTTCCAGTTTGTCATTTTTAAAACACTTCACTGCCTTACACAATCACAAATAAATGTATTCGTCAAAAGCATTGATAACTTACTCTTAACTCACAAAATTAAATTTAAATATTAAGAATGTAAACTGTCACATAATACATCAACATTGCCGCCTGTTTCAATATCTCAAACACCAAATATACCTTCATTTGCATGAATACACACACTGGAAACTATTTTAGCCCTAACGCTGAAGCTAGCATCCTTATCTACGCTCTTCAGGATTCAGCCAATCAGCATCATGGAAAATTGATGCTTAATTGGGATCAATTCAGCATCAATTTGGTGCTCCTGGATTGGCTGCTTTGCAAATAGCACCTGATAGTGTGTCAGCTATCATCACTCATAGCTTGCCAAGATGTTTTTTTTTCTGGAATATTTTAGATATGCTCTTCAAAAAAATGCATAAATAGCCAAATTTTCCACTGTATTAAATCCACTGTATCCACTGTATTTCCACTGTAAAGTTTCCACTGTATTAAATAACATTTTTACAGTTAAAAATGTATAAATTACACATAAGTGAAACTCTAAGACTTATGATTCAAAAAAAAAAAAAAAAAAGAAAGAAAGCAAAAACATTCAGAGTTGACACAGATGATTTTTAAATAATGTTAGGTCCAATCTCCACCCATTTTATACAAGCTCCTCCCATTTTTGGTCTTTCAAGCTGGCGTACGAGAAGGAGGAAGTTTGGCCTCAAAGGAGCCCATGGTGTTGAGCACTGCATGGATGCGGAAGTGCAGCCTGGACTCCATGCTGTAGTCTCTGTAGTTCATCCTGCAAATAAAACCACCTGTTAGCCGTTTGTTGCAATTATGGGAGTGTTCTAGAGAAAATAAGAACATTTGTGAGTTTAAAAAGCCAAAAATTTTCAAGGAAAAACTCAGAAATTTTTAGATTAGTATTAGAAATTTGCTAGAAAAAGCATGGAATTTCTTAGCTTCAAATTTGAAAAATTTCTAGAAAAAAATAGAAATTCCCCAGTTTGAAATGTCAAAAAGACAAGGAGTTTTCTGAGTAAAAAGTTGGACATTTTCTAGAAAAGACCAGACATCTTGAGATAAATCTCAAAAAAAAAAAACATAGAAATTTCTGAATTTTGAAGGTCAAACAATTTGACATTTCTATGTTTCTTCCATTGATTTGTCTAAAAATGTCAGAGTGTTTTGGGCAAAAATTTACTCTTCTTTTTTTCTATCTACATCGGCCGTCACAGGAATATAATTAGAGATGGTCAGTCGAAACTGATTTTATGTTAAATTGGCCTGCCATATACATTGTTCAGATTGAGTGTATTATCCTCTGTGAAAGGTTATCACATGAAGCGTGGGGTCAGTTTATTTGAAAGAAACATTTTAAAACACATACTTTGCCTTTTCAATGACTGTGATGGCCGTATTAATGTCCCCTTTCAGCTTGTGCAGTAAACCCAGCTCATACATGGTAAATGGCACCAGGTAGGTGTCATGCTTGATGTCCTTTTCTCTGCAGCAAAGACAAAGAAACAAAAACAGGCATAGTTATTGGCAGTAGAAGAAGAATTTGTTCAAATCAGTTCCATGAATAATCAGGAGTTTCTGAAAAACTGTAAACCTGAATGGATAGAACAGCATTTTGTACCAATCTGATGGTTTGAAAATCTGAATAACAGTTTGAAAACAATAAAAATCTGTGGTTCAGCAAGTATGTCTATTAAATAATTTAGCAGCAAAAAGTGTTTTTGAACTGAAAATGTTGCTTTTTTTGTTGATATATAATGCTGAAATTAACTCTTAAAATTTTTAAGAGACGAGTCGGAGTCATATCTACATTCACCAGGGTGACTTAAAAAGTCTTAAATATGTGTATCTGAAATTAAGGCCTTAAAATGTTTTAAATTCATAGGAAATTTTTAAGTTAATGTAACCAGGATAATTTTTCTATATTGGATTCAGTTTATTTATTTTATTTTCCATTTTGTTAGATCTAATTTTATTAATTTTTATTTAAAGGTTAATTAAAATCCTCCTTTTCTTAATTTATTCAACACCAACCAGGCGAGAACAACGTTGTTCTCGCGCGGTTTTGACGTCATGTGAAGGCTGCACGTCAGCGTCCTAAATTGACAGCTACGGTTTATATGGCTACTAATCGCACCTTAGGTAGGAAATGTTGTCGGACCCTGACGTACAGGTAGGCTTCTGGTCTGTTCCCAAAGCGGTTTTCAGATCTCTATTGTACATCCTTCAATCGTGCGCCTCTGTTAACTTGCAGACGTGTGATCAATCAGCCGAACGTTGTAAAGATCACGGTTGGTCAAGAGGGAACTGGTGACTGTTTGCTCGGGAGCTAGCATGCTAGCACTAGCCTCCCCAGCCTGTTGTAGTTATACACCGATCTAAAGCACATTCAAATCGAAATGCTTACCGAAACTACGGTTGTGTAAAAATACTGTTTTTGCATAAGTTGCATTTAATTATGTAAACTCCTGCAATTATAAGAAAATACATGTACATGTAAATTGATTATTTAGGCCTGTTCACACAGGCCAGGTGTATTGCAGATCCCCCGCTCAAGGAGTGGCTGACGGGTCTAGGATACAGCAAGGATCGTCTGGCTTCATGCTGACCAGACTGGCGAGCTAACCGTTAGTGGATCCGGAAATACAACGCCTATTATCTGAGGAAACTCTTCCGAACTGGTTGGAGATTCAGCCCAACAAGTCTTCACTGAAGGAACTGGATTATTATTTTTCTTTTCCTCTTTCATCATCAACAAAGACTGGTTGAGTTCCTTGGTTTAAGGAACCCATTTGGACTTTAAAATTGTGGACTAACTTGTATATATTGTAAATAATACAACTCACCAATTTTGCACCATCTAGCTGTCTCTGTGTTTTTTACAATTTGCCACCTCGTCCAGCAGACGAACCTAGTTTTTAAGAAATCACTTGGATTGACTTTAATTTGGATTATTTCTAATCCTAGAATGTAACTTGGGTTACATTAACTTATAGGAGGTCATAAATTTTTCATGGCAGGACTACTTAATCTTGTATTACTTGTAGTTTAGTTTTACTCATGAAACTTTTCTCTCAGGCAAATGTTTGAGTCGCCTGCAGACATCTTCACTGACTCGAGGAGGCTACCGCTAACTAGCTGCTAATATACCCTCACTAGTGCCAATCTTGTTTATCATGGCCAAGATTAGCACTACTACTACACACAAGATTTTATTTAAGATTTCTTTGGAAATATGGGTCTTAAGAAATAAGACGTAAAGTAATAATTCATAATGGCCTTAAAAAGTCTTAAATTTTGAGTTGATAAAACCTGGAGAAAATGCCTTTCTGCTGTAGATAATAGCAGAAAGTCAGAGCAGTTTGACAAAGTCATGGTAGTCTGGTTAGACTTTATGTTGAGTTAAGAACATGAAAATCTGAGCTTAACATGTTTAGTGTTCATCTTGGGTTTTTGTTAATGTATTTTCTAGGTTTTTTGAACATCATAAATTACAAATAAAATGAAATTAATACAGTAAATAAATGAAGACCAAGCCATCTCAAGCAAGTATGATCTTTCTATAAGTTTTGTTGCAATATACCTTCATTCTACTCAGATTCTTGATTAATGCATTGTGTTCAATGTAAACATAGTGGGAAAAGCAAAATAATATTTAGTGCAGACCATTTCCATATGTACAAAAGTTTGAATTTTTTAAGTTTGGACACTGAAACGTAAAAACTTCTTGTTTCTGATTTTGAATTTGCATTTCCCTCCGAATTATACAATTCAACTTTTTAATATTTTTCTAGTATCTGTTTATACTGGGCTTTAAACAAAATGATTTAAATTAACCTGTTGGTCTCAGGTTGTCATTCACAATGGGGTGTCAAACTCCAGTCCTCAAGGGCCGCTGTCCTGCAGTGTTTAGATGTGCCACAGGTAAAAAACAGTGGAATGAAATGGCTTAATTACCTCCTCCCTGTGTAGATCGGTTCTCCTGAGCCTTGCTAATGACCTAATTATTCTTTTCAGGTGTGGTGCAGCAGAGGCACATCTAAAAGTTGCAGGACAGCGACCCTTGAGGACTGGAGTTTGACACCTCTGTCACGAGAGGACCCGAATAACAGGTTAACCGAATAACATGCTAATGCTAACACTATGCTAGTGTAATGTTCTCATGCAGCCAGTGATGTCGCTGTTGCCGTGAAGTCACCTGGAAATGACGAAGTTGAAGCAGATCTCCGCCTGAACCAGCCGCCCCAGCTGCGTCAAACACAAACCCTTCAGCATCTGGACCACACACACGTCGTCCGTGTGGAACTCCGACGGATCTGCACATCACACAGGCGTTTAGTTTGCATTTGCATTTGCATTCTGGATTTTTGTTGTTTTTTTTCTCAGAATTCAGATTTTTTTTTATCAGAATTTGGACTTTTTTTCTCAGAATTCTTACATTTTCTACAATTAAACAATAAAATCAGGCAACTTCAATTTTTTTGATTTTGATTTTATTTTAATCTTTATAATTATTATTATTTTGACCTGCAAAGATTTTTGACTTGTCAAGAAGAAGTTTGGATACTCCTGCCCTAAAAGTTAATTGGTTTTTGTTTCTTTTTTTTCTCTTTTCTCACCCGGATCGCTCCTAAGCTGCTCTTCTGCCGCCTCCAGAGTCGATAAGATGCCTTCGGTTAGCTCCGGCCGCTTGCCGACTACCATGAAGCCGTTCCACACATACATCATTTCCTGTGAGGAAGGATGTCGTGATAAACAGACTTATAGTTTTTACTGGACGGCGCTGAACGGGTTCTCACCAGAGCAGGAACCACGAGCTTCAGAGGCTTCGGCGGCGCGTATCTCTGGGCCTTCTTGGCAGCAAACTTCTCGGTTGGAATCGATTTTCCCGCAATTCTTAATCTGAGGCCGTCCACCTGCCTGCAAACCGACGCTCATTTAGCCGAACAAAAACACAAAACCTTTCTATTTTTATCTTGTTTCTGGTGGAAATATCTTATTGCGGCAAACAGCACACCCACAGATGATGCTTCAAAATTCATAAAGAAACATAAACTTTTAGAAGGTTTTTTATTTACTGTTCAATAATTATTACATTAATTTAGCGTAAATGTGGCCAGTTATTTTTATCAGTTAATATATTATGACTTTATTACCAGATGATGCAATTTTGAAACACAATCCCCTCTTTTGATTATAAGCAAATAATTAACATATTTTAAATTAATCACATCTAATCTTATTTTATTCTCACTGTTCTTGTAGTTTTTTTGCATAAGAATTATGGCAGCCTATAAGAAAATGAGCATCAGAAATAGCATTTAAGTAAATTATCTAAACTTATTTTTTTTTATATAAAAAAAGCTTTAAAAACAGAAAACAACAATTGCAATTAAAAAAATCTAAGATAAAAAAATTAATGGGATTGAAGTTTTTTTTATTTTGGAGGTTTTTTTCCTCATCTTCTCTCCAACTTTCTGAGGCCCTCAGTTTGAAAAACTCTGATTTTGTGTTTTTGCAGTGCAGCTAACTGCTAAGACATCATTCATTTCTTTACTCACCTGAACAGCGCCACAATATTTTCTCCAGTCTTGGTGACTTCCTCCTCTGGCAGCATGCTTAAGATGGCGGCTTTCTGAAATACATATGTGGCCTAACAGAAAACAGCAACGTTAAATGAGCAAAGTCAAAGAAAATGTGAATAAAATTATGAGATTAATGGTCATATTTGCATGAGTACCATTTGGTAAATTTGAGTTATCAGACTAGGTTAGTCTGACGGTGCATAAATAATTTAAACAATTCAGATTCTGAGAAAAGTCACAATTCTGACTTTTCTCCAAATTCTGAGAAGAATAAGGAATTCTGAGAGAAAAAATGTCAGAATTTTGGGGGGAAAAAATCTAAATTCTGAGTTTAAAGTCAGAATTCCAAGAAAAAAAAATTGAATTCTGAGGGAAAAGTCAGAATTTTCTTTAGTGACCCTAATCCTAAAGAAAGACTTTTCTTCCCCTTTTTTCTTTTCTTTTTTTTTTTTTGCTTTGTGCATTTCTCCAGTCCAAACTCCAGTCGAGTTGATGGCAGTAATGCACATTTAAAGTTTTCTGCCAAGAAAAGCCCAGAAGAAGAAGAAGAACTAGAAGCAGAAGAGAATGCTGATACCTGTGACCACTTGTTCTCCTTGCAGAGGCAGTCGGCGTATCGGTACGCCTCGGTCCAGTTCTGCTCGAAGGAGTACGCCCACATCAGCTCCCAGAAGCACAGGTGGTGGATCTGTCGCCATTCCTCCTGGGTCGCTATGCAGGCCAGAAATTTCTCCTGAGCCTGCAGAGACCAGAAAACTCTGAAAACTAGCCTTCATTTACTGGCCTTTATTTACAGTCAGACAGTTAACACTCACAAATGTGAAGTTCCCTTTCAGCACAGCGATCCTGGCCGTGTAGAAGAGCATCAGCGCTCCCTGTGGGAAAAATCCCTCGGGTTCAATCCAGAGAAAAATACTTCACAGCAAGAGGAGTAAGAAAAATTTCCATTTCTCTCAGTGCTACTGTGGGAGTTCTATGGGTGCCAAAAATGTAGATTCACATAAAAATTATGATTCTACAGCGGCTTTCACTGTAAATGGAAAAAAAGAGAAAATTTCTGCCAGAAAAATTTGGGGATTTCTGAGGTCATAAAGTCAAAATATTTGCCAGAAATAAACTCTAAATTAATCAAAATTTTTTAGATTAATTTCAGAAATTTTCTAGAAAAAATTTTGGAGCTGCAAAAGTCAAACATTTTTGACTTTTGAGACTCTGACTTTTTAGATTTTTGGAGCTGTGAAAATTTACAATCATTTTCTAAAATAAATTCTGTAATTAATCTCAAAATGTCTGAGATTTTCTTCTTGCAAATTTTCAACTTTTGGAGTCAGTAGCTCCTTAATATTGATGAAAAAGTACCAGTTCCACTGACAGAGTATTTCACTTATATCATGGGGAAATTATCTTATCAGTTAAATGATCTGCCAGTAAATATTGTACTTTTTAAAATCAATATTAAGGAAATATTGGCTGGAAACAAGCTCCGATGTCTTGCCCTAAAGTTACCTCATCGTTAGTTCTGCCTTATTTGATGTGTGCTAAGATATTTGCAGCAGAAACTAAACCAAATTACTTGGCAAGATTTTCTGTTTTTGCAGTGAATGTATTGAGTTATGGGGTGTATTTTTCTCATAATAAATGAGCATAAATGGAAACCTTCCTTTATAAACTATACGTTTGTCTGCGTTTCTTACGTTGGGGTACTTGTCGGCGTACGGTTTGAGCAGAGCTTCAGCCTCAGGGAGGTTTCCTTCACCGGTACCTGAAGGAGCGTTAAAGTCACTTCCAGGCTCCAGTAATCTGATGTTCTGCTTCACATGAGGAAAGTTTCTCACCCAGAATGACGCTCATGTAGAGGTGGAACATGAGCAGAGTCAATGTGCTGAGGATGGAGCGCAGGCTGTTACTGGCTGCCCCCTCTCTCAGCTGAGACAAACCAAACTCCTGCAAAGCGGATTATAGAAACGTATTAAAAAACCGTTTTAATGCGGTGATACTGACATCCCAAAGCGTCTCCTACCCTGTCTCCAGAAAATCCCAGAAACTCCATGAGTCTGAGGACTCTGGATGGAAGCATGGACAGGATCTGATAAAAACAACAAATAAAACATGGTGGTTACTCTGGATTCATTGAGACAAATGCAGCTTCATAGCATTTAATCTCTGTTTGGAGAATCAGTTAAAACTTCCCAAAACGTCTCAATCTTAAATAAATCTTTTAAATGTTTTTATGCTTCAATTTGGGTGTCAACTGCTTCTAAAACAGTTTTTTTTTCAATCCAGCCATTATTTTACCATAATATAATATTCTAAATGTAACTGCCCCTCACCTAGTAACCCCACCCTGTTGCCTAGCAACCCCAGCAGAGTTCTGCCCGTCACCTAGCAACCCAAGCGGAGTTCCAGCTAAGTCTGTCGCAATAAATTAAAATGAGCTCAATCATTTACATTTGCATGGTATGTCCAGATAAATAAAGAGTAGTCTAAAATATTGAATTAAATTGTATGTCATTTTTTTTACTTCTTACCAGATTAAATGATCCGATGCCCATGTTGACGCCACCTCGAAAATGAATATGTGTGCTCCTCTCCTTTTCTCCATCCTCTATTACATTTTCCAAAGCCTGGCAGTTCCTAGTTTAAAAACATTATGTCTTAATATCAACACAACACACTACAAAATTATAAAGATTTCAGACTG